GGGGTGTAACAAGATGCAAGTTTTCACCATGATATGATGCGCTTTAAACACAGATTTGCCATAAGAAATACATACATTTTGCTATTATTTATTTATATTTTCCTAAAAGAGACGCCGATACCTGTTGAAGGCGTAACTGGCACAGTGGGATCCAAATATCACCAATTATCAGAGTGTTGTCGGCAATATTTTCACTGATTTTCACTGTATTGGTCAACTTTATTTTCCCAAAAGAGACAAAGAGGGTGCATGGTGAAGGGACTGCTGGGACAAGCACAGTGGGATCCAAAAGTTTGAGACCATTAGTGAAAAAGCTTCTATTTTACATTCCTTTAGAATTAAATACAGTTTTTCAGTCCACATTATATGATCAGTGTAACAGCTTGAGTGAAAAGTAAAATCTTTGAAATTTTAACATGAATTTCAGAATTTGTTCCTATTTGGTGGTACAGGAGTGTTGTTTTAATGACAGCACTCAAGCTGGACTCCACAAAAGCCTCTGATGAGCAGTTCAAATACACCTGAGAGTTGTCTGAACGGGAGCTTCAGTGGAAGGAATAAAACTCAAAAAGAAACCTGACCTCTGGCCTTAACACAGTCAATGTCACAAATGTGCTTAAATTTGAATATTAAGCTGGAAATACTGGAGAATCTTGACTATTTTCTCTTCACTTTACTTGTCATAACTTTTCTTTGTTTCTTTGTTGTTTACTTTGCTGTTTATGTCCAGAAAACCACAGATTTTTGAAGTGGGCTCAGACTTTTGGACCCCTCTGTACTTTTCAGAAGTCATAAAATAAAAAATAAAATAATCAAAGTGCAAGATTTAAGTGTGATAAATAAGTTGCACGTGTGTGAAACCTTTACTGTTATTTTCAGTGATTTCACACATTTATAGCATAAAATCAATTCGGTTTACAGCTGATCTCACAACCCAATAACGTAAAACTTAATAATAATATGCTGTTTGTGACATCCCTGCAATACAGTCATAAAGTGTAAGGCTGTGCATAAATACAGGGCTCTTTTATTGCTACTGTTATTGATCGAGCCAGCTAAATTCTTCAGTAAGTGAAAGTTTGTGCCTGCTTGATCACCCTTTCCTGTTTGGTCAGAGCTCTTGCGCTTGTAACAAAAACACCAGCACAGTCATTTTGACAAACGCTGACTAATTCTGCAATGACTGCAGGGCCAATGAGATTTAAAAACAACTAGCTGAGCCAGAGGGAAATGTGTTGCTTAAATGACACTCATTTGATATTTGCAATAAAAATAAAAAGATCAGTCAGTGAAATGTGTACTTACGCTGACGCTGGGGTGTCTTAGCCAGTCATAGCCAGAGTGAAAATGTTTCCAGTTAAATTCTGGTCTCTAAGAGACGTGTTTAAACCAGCGCCGGGCTTTGGGCAGGTTTTCGCTCCGAGTGACAGAGTAGGGAATACGTGAACTTGTGTGAACTTCACTTCCATCCAGGCCTGGATTTTCAGTATTAGCCAAACGTTTTTCCATTTGCGTTACTTTCATATTGACACACAGGTTATGATCAGTTGAACACAAGTCAGATGTGTGTGAGAGAGAGAACAAATGAGCTCACTGTGCCTGGAGGCTTCTCACCAGCAGTTCAAAGATCAGGCCTCGGCAGATAAAAACAAGTAAACGTGTTACACGCCAAATTAATTTCTTCCTCAAAGACACGCTGGCGACGTGACGCTTTTTGGCAAATATATCTTCCAGGATGATGTCAGGGGTTTACATAAAGAAGCTTTACTGCATTTAGGAAAGCTTAGCTGCTTCCTCTTAGTGTTACGATACAAAAACATGTTATTTCTGAGTCATGGCTTCAGCATTAAATGAGCACTTTCTGAATCACTGCGTGAACTGAGATTTCTCTTAAGCCCTACTGGAGCTGGGCTGGTTTTACTTGGGGTGGTCCTGTAATTTGAGTGATTATTGACAGGATGTGTGATTTTTGTCCGCTGTGAATCTGCAGTGTCTGTACTTTTTACAAGTCTGCTAAGCAATAACAGAATTAACGACCAACTTTCTAATCAGCAGTGCCCCCTGTTTTTTTGCTGACCGAGAGACGAGGCTAATGGCTAAAATGAAGTTCAACATGGCACAGCTTTTTATTGGCAAATTCAAAACAGGACTATCGTAATCTACAACATAAGTGATGACTTAATTAAATAGCGGTAACACTTTATTTGGAGTGGTTCTTTGTAGATGGTTTATAAACTCTTTACAGAGTATCAGTAACAAGCAACAAATCTGTGAAGTAGCAGTAGTGAAGCATTTGAATACAGTAAATATCTTGATTATCTGTTGATACTTTACTTACATTAAGTCGATGTTTTGTTAATATGTTACTTCCATTACGCAAACCCTCACCCTGGCCCTAATCCCAACCCTAACCTTACCCTCAACCCAAAACCTTATCCTAACCCTCAGCTTAATCTCAACCCAACACCTAAACCTAACCCTGGCCCTAATCCTAACCCTAACCTCAACCCAAAACCTAATCCTAACCCTAACCCTAATCCTAACCCTAACCCTAACCTTGACCTCAACCCAAAACCTAATCCTAAACCTGGCCCTAATCCTAATCCTAACCTTAACCTCAACCCCAACCCCAAATCTAACCCTAACCCTAACCCTGGCCCTAATCCTTACCCTCGTGTTGTTGACATGTTACTGAGAGTCTATTGAGTGTTTGTTTCATCTAAAAGCACCACTCAAAATAAAGGGTCATAGAAATACCCTGACAGTACTGTTCCTGACCTGTTGAGGGACATCTCTAAGTTCAGTCCACTTTACTTGCCCTAATACTATTTATCTAACGTGAACTGGAAGTTAGTTTTTGTTGTTTGTTTGTTTGGACCTGTTTCATTTTAATTTAGTCTTAACGCTGATGTGAACATCAAATCTATGGCATTTTGATACAGGCTATCTGGGGCAATTTGAGGAAATTGCACAAATACTCATATACGGCACTTGATATAGCACCAACTTTCACTGAGTGGAAGTAGAGATACCCGTAGTCGATATTACTCTAGTAAAACTATATGTGCTCTGTGTACATTTTACTTGACTTAAAGTACAAAAGTACCTTCTTTCATATGTGCTTCAGTATAAAATGTAAAAGAATTAAAAACAAATCTTCTTTTGTGTCAAACTGGTCAAATTTACAGAGATAACGGTACAATGTTACTGAATTTTCTTTAAATCTGAAAGCATGTCAGAGCTGCCTGGACCTAGTTACAGTTGCTAAGCTATGACTGACAGTTTGGTATTTAGGGGAGAGATTTAATGAAAGGTGGGCTATGACTGTTTTGATTTATTTGTCAAAGTGCCTCATATTCTTTCAAATATTTTGAACATTTTCAGAAAGTAGTGTAGAAAAAGTCGGATTTTTACTTTGAAATGTAGTGGAGTGAAAGTAAACCTCTCAAAAAGTGCAGATACTTGAAAAAAAGTGCTTGAAAAGTTCAGCCACTGCACATATTTATCCCGTACAAATCGTCCAGTCAAGTGGCTTACAAATTACAATACCGGAACTCTTTACGGAAAACTAACGCAGCTCAAGTAGGGCTTTAGACGTAGCATTACAGCTGAGTTGAATTGAGCTGATTAACATGCCATTATATGGCCTGTGCGTATGTGTTAAGGCTAATTCAAGTCTTATTTAACAAACAAGAGTCAAACTACACAGTTGTGCATTCATCAGCACTAGAACTGAGTACACATAAATGAGTGTACCCACAGTAAACTGGTAATTAATAAGGAAATGGGCCTATTCCCATTACTGTAATCTAGCTGCTGAAATAGCCACAGACTCCCAGGTGTTTGTTTCCAATCCCCGACTGAATTGGACTGTTCAGAGTCTGGGCCCTTAATGAAAAGAGTGAGGTACTTACTAACGACAAATTAATAGTTATTAGGCCAGGCCTTATGGGTAGCTGTCCATCAGCATCAGCTCCCCCTGAAGGGATTGCCGTCTCGAATGGAGAAACAAGAAGGGCCTGCTCGCTTTAGTCAAAGATGACAGGAAAGATGTGGTGAGCGCTAATGAGTTTCAGTAAAGTGCTCTCTCGGAGGAAAGGGAAAAAAATAGCAAAACCGAAACTATACAAAACGAAAACACCCACTGCCTCACTCCAGCCTACAGATACATCACTCAAGCAGAGCACCCCCGTTTTCCAATGGCTTTGGACAAGACACATTATTCTGTCACGTTTTAGTGACTTCTAATACTGTAATCACACAGAAATAGCAATTATACAGTTGTATGCAAAAGTTTGGATGCCCCTGGTCAAATGAGGTTTTGTTGATTTTCTGCGTGAAAATAAATTCATGTCCTCTACAGAGAGCACGCTTCTGCACATTTTAATGCACATCTACTGTTTTATTTAACATACTGAGAAATATAAATGCAATAAAACAAACGCAGCCTGTTACAAAGCATGCTTTCCTTTTTTCCAATATGTTACAACAGAAATTTTGCACTAAACTTTGCAGAAAATGCTGTGATTATTTAATTTTGTCAACAAAACATATAATTTGACTTTTGTGTTGAAACTTTTGCATATGACTGTAGGTGTCACTACATACGACTGTTAAACATTTTATTACTTAGTTATAATATTACCTTTGATAAAATTGAACAATTATCTGACTCGTAGCTCATTGAAACAAGCGGCAAATTTTTTAAAACAGGTAGAAAAAAGGCCATAGATAATAAAAGATGAGATAATAAAGATTATACAGATACTATTCTTCTTCTTCTCCTTATTATTATTATTATTACTATTATGTAGAAAAATATTTATTTTATTTACAGAAATAAAACTGCCATTTTGAAATTGTCAATAAGGAAAGTAAATGTAATTTATTATGTAATTAATTATGTAATTACATTTAAACAGCACAGCAATACGACACTAATAACTCTGGATTCTAAGGGTTGTTATCTACTCGTGAGGTCAGCAGGTGGGCCGTCTTACCTCTCTCTCTTGAGCGTGTGGCTGCTGTACTGGCCGTTGGTCGTGGGGTGCTGGTTGAGGAGGGGGTTTTTGGGAGGCGCGGGTGAGGCGGAGGTCAGGTCCAGGCCACGGTGGCCGTTGTTGCTGGCGCTGTTCTCCTCCTTCACGGGAACGCCCGTCACCTCCTTCCACAGCTGCTGCAGCTCGGCTGGAATCATGCCTGCCACAAACAAATTGGATAATTAAATCAATTAACGGGCTAATCCAGTTCCACTCGCATTGTAATTAAATCAAAAACAAGGGGTTGGGTAAACAAAGGAGGGTATTAATTAGGAACTGTTCCACTACGGGCGAGCGTGGAGAGATGCGCTTGGCCCACCCTCTCTCTCTCTCTCTCTCTCTCTCCCTCTCTCCCTGCATGTGTTGCGCGTGCCTGTGTGGGTTATGTGAAGCGTGTTTGTGTACACAAATCCCTGGCATTCATGTGCATTTCATGCTTAGAGTAAATAATTAACATACAGACAAGGCATGAAATCTGAATAATTAGCATTATTCCTCCGAGAAGAAAGCCAGCATGCGCACACACAGGGTTTACAATAGCAACATCACAAAAACAACTCTCAGAGAAAAAAAAAGGAGACAGATAGCGAGCGAGAGATGGAGGGTACAAGAGGGGAAAAAGCCCCTAGGGTAATATTCTCGAAAGCAAGTTAATGTGCAAAATACTTAAAGCTCTGCGCAGCCTCAAATTGACAGACTTAAAACCGCTTTTACAAAGTCAGCCACACTACACTCCTGCATATTAGAGGGGGAAAAAAGAAAAAGAGTTCTTCATGTAAAGATGGTGTTTTTTCTGTCATGCATCTCTATGTGCTGTTACACTATACTGCAGTCTGTACAGTAAGTTTGGAACCACCATTTGAATCACTGTTTTCAATAATATAGTCCCAATTTGGTTGTAGATACATGTATAAAGTGATGCTGCACTGTTAGAAATAAAGGTTCTGTACAGGTACATTTTTGGTTCATCAAGGTACAAACAATGTAAGTGTTCCCTCAAAGGTACAAAAGTGGTTTTAAGGTCCAACTGTGCACACTACGTAAATATTTCCAGGTGAAAAGTTCGTATTTGTACCTTTTCATAACCGAATGTTTTAAATCAGAACAGTAAAATAAAGTCCTGGAGACGAGACGGGGTGTGTGGAGTCAGTACAGCTTAGAAAATATGATTTCACTGGATTATGGTTCAGTTATGATCCCTGACTAAAGGTACTGAGATGTACCCTTGAGGGAACCACCCCAGTGACAGTTCCTTTATTTCTGAGAGTGTAGTAAGATGCTGCTTTTCTACAACTTTATAGTTTTCAAATAATTTCTAGGAAGCTGCAATAATTAAGAATTTCTGATGAGTCCAGAATGATGAACAGAGTTATAAATGATTCTAAAAGGAGAAAGCTGTAGAACATCAACGCTATAATAACATTAACACCCAGAAAGTTTTGCATTTGAACTGTGTTGATTAAATCTCAGGTAGATAACTTTAACGAAAGTAAGAAATGACTATAAACAGATGCAGTTGTACGCAAACGTTTGAACATCTTGTTCAAATGGCTTTGCTGAAAATAGAGTAACACGTCCTCTACAGGGAACAAACTTGCCAAATATGCCATTTTCTGCTAATTTTAGTTTACAATTTTAAAATTTATTTGCTGGGTTTAATAAATTAGAAGAAAAGAAACAAAATCTAAAATGTGCCGTAACTTTTGCACAAGCCACATTTTATGTTTTATTTTTTCCTGTTAACAGTGATTGTGCATTAAAATGTGCTCTGTAGAGGATGTGTTCACTTATTTTCACTTAAAAAATCAACAATACATGCCATTTGACCAGGGGTGCCCAAACATCTGCATACACCTGTAATTACAGTATATTATTTAATAACTTCTTCCCTAAATAAACTTGAAATTTTGAATGAAACATCCTAAAATACCATACATGGTACAGTTGTGCAGTGTAAAATAATTCAAACTACGTTCATTTTTAATTTTGTAAAAATAAAAATTAATCTGATAATTATTTGAAACGTTTGAGTGGTAGTGTATCCCCTGTTTTAAGGTAAGAATGAACTGAGATGCTGCTGATGACACTCAGCAATTACTAACGATTCAGAGAAGAATCTACGGTAATGTTAGGAGTTCAAGCCCATATAAAACTGTTTCAGCTGTACTGATTGGCCTTGGGATGGCATGTAAAATTAACCAAGAGGGGAGCTGGGGGACGGACCAGTCATTTCACATGGCAATTAATTAAATCGATTTTCAAAACGAGCAACAGCAAATGGAAGATGATTTGCACCCTGCTTATCTGAATTATTCTCTGAATTTTTATTTCCTCTGCCCCCCCCACTCCTCCTTTAATCACTTTCTCTCTAGATACCAGAAGTGGTCCCTTTCAAGCATTCGACTGTAATACATTCGTAACAGAAATGCTTAGTCTTAATTTATTCCTGTTGTGGCAAAATAACAGGCGAGGTGAAGATCTCAATGCGATCAGCAGAAAATATTTTTAATTTGATAAGCTACTAAAGATTTTAATTATGCCGGTAATGGAGAACAGTGGGCTAATGAGGCGAGGAAAGCTCTGGAGAGAGCGCGAGAGCGAGCGACACTAAGAACTGTGAAATGAGTCTGATAGGGCCGCTGTAAATTCACTCCAGATCGTTTGCATATCAAAGAGCCGGCGGAAATTATTGCAGGACGAATCAATAACCTTTCCATGTTCCAAGGAGCATCGTTGGGCCTCTGCGGAGGCCGGACGTGTCTTTTGCGTCGCTTTTGGCCATTTTACTCTCACCGAATGACGGTTGTTGTGGAAGTGTTTATCAAAATTCCTCAAAATCCTCCCAGAGACATGTGACAAGAGTGGAGCTACAAAGATCAGACAAAAAGCTGATTTTGAAAAGGAAAACAAACACGTGGACCTTTATTGTCGAGGCATTGTTTACCGCTCTATAATACTCATATAAGCAACCATTCAGACAGACTGAAATACACTGCAGGAAACATTAGGAGCAAGACAGCTTCGACTGTTTCATCATACCATAAAAGAATTCACTCAGATGAAACTTTAAGTGGGAAAGGGGAAAGGAAATGAAGATGATGACCCAGGGTGTCACGATTTTTCAACAACAAAAGTAACAGCCTGCTGCGATGCAGCACTTGCTGTCGGAACAAAATATTGTATCTCAATTTTTGTCATCTTTTATTTTTTAGATATGGAATATGCGAATTGTGGGCCGATACCAATATCTGATATTTTTCACATACATATCTCCTGGCACTGATACTGATGATGATACACAAACATTAAGGAGATGCTGAAATTGGGTCCAGATGCCTGGATTTGTATTATGACGATTTTATTTGTATAGGGTTATAACTGCAGTGAAATGAATCAAATGCAAACATTTTAGAACATTTAAAATATTAGTCAAACCTAAAAATCTCTCCAATATTTATCTCCGATATTTATTTTAAGCAAATACCAGCCAAAATGATTCTGATATCACTGAGCGTCACCAATTTTGCTTTTATATCATTTAAAAAAAAGCCAGCTGCCAGGTATATTGTGTAAAATATCATGACACATTTACTTCACTTTGAAATTTACTTTGTTATATTAATGTTCATTAAAGTTTCTCTCTGTTTTTTCCTTCTCCTGTAAAGCTTCCATTGTGGGAATACAACAGTGGCAGCATGCAGTGTTACTCATTTAAAACAAAACTAATTACAACACATCATCTGATTACCTGATTAATTAAAGAAACAGATGACAGGTTGATTATAATAACTGCTAGCGGTAGTCCTACACAGGAAGTGTGGAGTCTTGGTTTGCCATCTTTATGGCCTTTGCAGTGGTTTAGAATGGCAGGATTTGGCAGCGAGCTTTCATAAAGGAAGGTCACGGCTGTAGTGAGTGTCCTGGGTGTTGGACAAAAAGGGGGAACAATCATTTTCCCCCCACATGAAGCGCAGCGACGATGTGTATTTTTAGCTGATGTGCTTGACTGGGCCTGCCCACGAGTCCAGGTGACCCCAACACCACCTTCTGACTACCCTCTCTCTCTTCTTGGTACCTCTGCCTCCCTTCCTCCTTTTTCCAACTGTCTGTATCTCCTGTAACTTTCTCTCATCCCACTCCATCTGTAATTCCACGTGTGCATTAATCCTCTACCCCCTGGTGAGTAAAGCTAGACACCTTTCACAGTCACCTGACAGACAGGCCCAACAGTAATTCCATCCTGTCCTCCATTTGTGTAATGTGCTGTTGGACCAATCGGATAAAACCCAGAACGTTATCTTTATTCAGTAACATATTCAACTGAAGGTGCGACATCCTGTATTTAATGTAAACCCCTACATCCCCATCCAGGTCCCTAAATTTGTCTTTTCAGCCACGGATTACCGCATCCATGGAGGTTTGCCATTTTTCAGAGCGGCCCCCTCTTCCCCGTTCGGCTCATTACAGGCCAAAGATACAGGCACCCTCCTTTTAAAAAATTATTTGCGCGGGACACTTGATTGATCACCGGCAGCGCAACTCGATTTTTACCGCGGCAGGTAGCGGGGCCCACTTTCCTCCTTCTTCAACCTTTCCTGTCCTTGTACCTCTGGTACCCTGGTGGCCATGTTCAAGCGAGCAGAAAGTTGATTTAAGGATCATAACCGCATCAGTCGCCAACCGTCATCACGGGCTGTGGGAAAAAAAATAGCCCGATGGCCCCGGCTGGGCCGCGTCTTTTTTTCCCCCCGACATCGCTATGGCCGCACCACCGGGGGCCCAAAGTGACACAACTATTAGTTTATTGTTCCATCAGGCGAGGACCTTCACGGCCCCCCCGCTCACCGTTTATGGTGCTCTGATCGCCGGGTCTTTGATATGCAGCCCTTAGGCCTAAAATATGTTCCTCTCCAATGCTACAGGAGCTATTAAAGCAGTGCCACGCCGCTGGCCGATCAATCAATGCCTGGGGTCCCACGTGGGCCGCGCTCCGCTGGCTGGCCGCGTTCGCTGCCTTCATATTAACGGCAAATTTGTCTTGTCGCCATCCCGCGGCCCTCTCTTGGACAACTTAACTGATGGGAGGAGGAGGATGAGAACTGGCTTTGGTCCATACGTGCATACAGGGTGCGGCGAGAGGCGGCTAATGGCTAATAGAGTGGAAGACGAGGACGGGGGGATGACATAAACACATGATCACAGAAACAGACATGTGCGCACACATACTGCTGGCAGAAATACCTGGGAGAGTAGGGCTAATGCAGGTGTCTGACTGAGTGAACGGGTCAGATATCATTTCCTTCTCCCTCTCTCTCTTTCCATTTTCTTCCTCTTTCCTATCCCTACTGTGAAGATCAAATGCTCTCCTCTTTCTCTTGATCATATACATATTTTTATCTCTTCCAACACACTGTAATAATTCATCACAGGCTCCTTTAGACCCTCTCCAGACCTTTGAACATACATGTCAAAATACCGATCCGCCAGGGAGAGCAAATGTGTCCCGACTTCCTCCAGAAGTTCAAACGCGCTCAGTGTTTAGTGACTGTTTCTAGTGTTTCTTTTCATTGTGTTTCTTTTTTCCTATTTATTTTGCTTGTGTGAAAGAATACTGAATTAATGTATAACACAAAACAGACACAATGAACTTAAAAATGAATTTAAAATATGTTGTAGTGTCATCATTAAAACAGTAAGTCTCTTTTTTAGGTATCTAGCAGTGTCAGTAAGCATACAAGCATACAAACACACACACAGGCAGCATTAAGCCGTCACTCTCATAGTGATGGCAACTATTTTTTGCTGAATATTGAAGATGAGATCTTGGCCTCGGTAAAGCCGGTCTACTGAAGCATGAAAAAGTTCGGTGGAGTGTGAAAGAAAAAGGTCATCAATAACTTTAAACAGTGGAGCAGAAAATGTGGCAAATAAGCCAGGACACACACACACACACAAGTGTTTTAACTGCTGCCGTACACACACTTTACAACTAATGAGATTCGAGGGCGCTGTCTCACTGCTAAATCTGTCCAGCTTGGTCAACCCACCAGCTTTAAATGACTGCTAAAGCCAGACTGCTAGATATTATCTAGCTTTGATTTGAAACAATGTACATCACTAACAGACATCTGAACTCTGAGCCATGCTGATATGAAATAGACGCTACCAATCAAAAGTGTGGACAGACCTGATTTTCTTAAAGGCATTTCTATCTAAAGGCTTATGCCTTAAGAAGTTTCATAGTTGGCAGAAAAGCATTAACAAGGACAAACGTTCTATGAAAAACCCACATGAACCTGACAAAGCCAAGTCAAAAATAGAGCGTCACACCCTAAAATCTGCCGCCAGATGAGTTACGCCTTGTGCATGTCCTCGCTGACAGCAGTAAAATCAGCTACTGTGTTTTCTATCACTGTATAAAAGATTCACAAGGCTTTCTTTCATGTTGGAGGGACCGGTTTTGTTCCAAGCGAGTGTTATTAATGGAAAAGAGTGGATAAAACAGTGAAATACCCACTTTTTTCAGCCTTAAAGAACTAAATTTTAATGAAAAACACATAGTAATTAGATGATGGATTGTGGTTCCTACTAAGACAAATAAAAATATTTGATTGATGCCTCTGTATGAATTTATGCATCCCCCCTCCTTCCCCCCCCAAAAAGCAAACAAAAAAAAAATAAATTGAAGAAAGTATTTTTCAGTTAGTACATAAGTGAAATTTACAGTTACAAAATATACAGTTGTTTCTCATTACAAGTAAATTAGTAGAATGTCTGTCCTTAATTAACGCATTAGTCAACGCTGTAATGCATTACAGCCAATCAGTTGTGTTGTGACGAGAGGGCGTGGCCTAAATAGCCCTATTTGGGAGAAGGCCGATATTTCTGACTGGACTAAGTCCACATGAACTATTTCGCAGTTTTGATGGTAAATGTGAATTTAAAAATCCTGCTCTATGAGTAGATATGTTTTTTTTGACTGACAGTGTATCATCAGCTACAGTACAAGGACAAGTATCTCCTCCATCTGATTTCCCACACACTGCTTGCACGTGTTTGCATCCCTGACAACAGATAAATCAATCAATATAAGAATCAGTCAGCAGGTCGTCTGGGAATTTTGTTAATGAGCCGTGTTAAGTGTCATATTCTAAATGTCAGGCAAAGCCAGAACACACCGCAGTGCCATCCAAGACACATAGGCTGCGTTACTGTCCCGGGCCAGACGTTTACATGGCCACGCCTGGCCCCGGGGCATCGGGTACTCTGAGTGGCTCATTTTTCTTTTCTTTTTTTTTCATGCCTTGAACAAACAATAACAAGACTACACAAACACTGTTTGTGTTTGCACATTACCTAACCAACCCCACCTCCTCCTCCCTTTCTCGCCTTATCTTATTATGAGCTTGTTTGTCTTAGCCAGAGAGAGAACAGTCAGCGTTGGGGAGAAAAATATATTTAGCAACCTCGTATGAAAGAGCTTTTGTTACAACGTAGCTGCTCCTTGAGAAAATATTACAGGAGGTGTGTAAAGAAATAAACTTCCTGGCGAAACAAGTATTGACTCAGCGTGAGCTTGTGAAAAAAAGGGCTCGGCCAGGATTCGCTCCGGAGAAGCTGCGGAACAACACACCTAGTGTGCTTTTGGCTTGGCACCTGGTCAACAGAGGATCAGCAGTGACGAGGAGAAGGATGGAGGGATGAGAGAGGAGGATGAAGGAGTGAAGGTGGTGTACCGAACAAATCCCTAAACTGGTCAATATAAGCAACGATATAAAGTTTGAAGCAGGATATAAAGTCTGAATGCCTCTCAATTACGTTTTGTTGATTTTCACACCCTCTACAGAGAAAACACTTAAATATGGCCTTTTTCTGCTAATTTTTGTGAATAACTCCTGTTTATTTGCTGAGTTTAACTTATTGGAAAAACAAAATATATAAATGTTCCATAACTTTTGCACAGGCCACATTTTATCGTTTATCTTCCAATAAGTTAAATTCAGCAAATAAACAGTAATTAAGCATTAAAATGTGCAGGTGTGTGTCTCTGTTGAGGATGTGTAACTTATTAACACTTAGAAAGTCAACAAAAAATGGAATTTGACCTGGGCGCCCAAACTTTTGCATATGATTGTGCAGTGCGGTGCAAAAGTCTGAGGCGATCGTGAAAACTGTTTAAACCTAATTATCCGGGCAGTAAGTATGTTTTGACCAGTAATAACACTAAATAACAAAATACATATTAACAAAAATATGGTAAAAGAATATATTTTGTTTTAAAAAAAGTTTTTACTATGTTGATTAAAAGAATACAGTTATAAGAGACGCAGGTTTGGTTCCTGACTTCTCACTGCACTTCAGCCATCGCATGGATCTGTTCGATTCTATCAGCAGCGCCTGATTTAGTTTAATGAAGGACTGATTAGATAAACCAGGCATTGGATAGTAACTGTAAACACTGCAATTTCATGAGAAAAGATCTGGAAGTAGCTAGGTTAGCGCACTCTCACACATCAAATCACAACAGGTTGTTATTTGCACTTTTTCTAATGTTGTGCTTTTTTCCCCAGATAAACATTTACTGCCCCGATAAACAGCTTAACGTGTCAATTTCTCGGATGACATGAGACTCTTGCACAGTACTGCATGTCGCAAAAAGGAAGTTTCACAGTGGGTGCAGGAATTCATACATAGTTTATAGAGGAACAAACAAGTGACGATAATAAAATTACTCATTCGGTGTGAACACGTGTAAATGACTGTGAATGGACAATTCCAGTCAAAGGCTGAGACACGTTGTTCTTTTCTTGAAATTGAAATTTAGAGGTTTAGTTAACATAAAGCAGCTATGTGCTTATGCTGTAGGTATACTGAGGTTCAGCACTCGGCTTAAGTGTCTTCCTTGGTCTGAAGAGCTGGTCCATAGAAGAGCCTTTCTGTTCTAAACTATTGTTAAAAGCACATATTGAAAGTCTTTGCCCTAAAGATGGGCTTATACCTGTGTCAGTAGCTAATATATACATATATATGTAATAAAGTACTATCAAGTACTTTATAAAGTACTTTATAGTATACAAAGTACACACTGTTCTTCCTTCATGACAAGTAACGAAAACACACCCACACAAAAAAATAATTTACGGTACTTTCTGAAGATTATGCCTGGGATCTAAGGAGTTAAACAGCACAGCAAGGAGATTGTGAGTGTGGTTGTTGTACACAAGGTAGCACCACCACAAATATGGTCACGAATATTTACGTGTGGTATTGTTTTGTTCAAAATAAACCTGTTTTAATGTGTTAATATAAAGACAACCTACTTATTTGTATTAAAAACATTTGCTAGATGTCCAAAACTAGAACTTTTGACAGGCAGTATAAGCATGTAGCCTTATATGTGTGGGAGTGAGTGTGTGAGTGAATGTGTGGGTTGGTGGATGCATGTGTATACATGTGAAATCTTCTGTGCCTTCATGTAAAAGTTTGGTTGTCATGGATATTGCCAGAGGGGTGTAAAGCCCCCAGCATTGGGCTGTGAAGGAGTTGAACTGCGTTCTCTGGAGTGATGTAGCTCCATCCAATACCTGTGGCATAGCAGTTGGAGTGATCCAGAACTAATCATCCAACATCAGTACCTGTCCTGACTAACTAAAACAATCAAATCCTCACAGCAGTGTTTGACTAAAGTCTATTATTACAGCAAAGGGGGACAAACTCTCTATTAATACCACTGATGTCAGAAAAACTGCAGGGTCGGCAGGTGTCTACAAACTTTTGGCCATATGTGTCAGCGTGAGTGAGCGTATGTGTGTGAGTGCTGTTTACCCTGAGTGAGAGAGTGCAGAGGCAGGTTCTGGTTGGGCTGGATGGACAGCAAGCCTTGTCTCTGCAGGCTGAGCAGGTGCTGCTGCTGCAGCTGCTGAACCTGGAGGAGCTGCTGCTGGAAGGCCAACTGCTGAGCCGACACCTACAGAGAGAGGGGGAGCAGTGAGAAAAACACACCACAAATCATACTTCCACGCACACATATACAAACACACAGACGCGCGGCAGGTACATCCCTTCCGCTCTTAATTAACTCCGAGTTGTGACAAACAATGAAACAACATAGTTAATCATTCATAATAAGAGCCGCAGGATTTTAATTACGGCCATTCATAATTCAGCAAACAACGTGTGACTGAAAGCAAGTCTTTATCATCCGCAATATCAAAGCGCGGAGCCTGTGGAACAAACAGCTTATCTCTCGTCCTATCAAAGAAGCAAACAGGGGTCTGTGGATGTGGGATCAGCGCATTATCAAAAAACGGTACACGATATGTGGCTGAGCCAGAGTTATTACCCTAATACGTGGTATTACTACCACAGTTTAGCCTGTCAGAGCAACTATAACGCGTTAATTTAAACAATGTTAGTCACATGTTCACCTCTGGTCAAATAACATGTTTTTGTTGGATTTCAAAGTAAAAATTTTGAGAAAAAAATTAAACAAAATATAAAATGTGCCATAACTTACGCACAGGCAACATTTAATGGTTTTTTTTTCCCCCAATATGCTAAATTCAGTAAATAAACAGTAATTTTGTATTATAATGTGCAGAAATTTGTTCTCTATATAGGATATGTTACCTTATTTTCACTTAAAAAGTCAGCAAAACATGGAATTTGTTTTGATTACAAGCGTACAGTGAAAAGTGATGCCCATTTTTGTTTGATGCTGAAAAAGTCCTACAATGGAAGTTTTCAAAAGAGACATGATTCAGATAAATATTACATAGCTATTACACAGCAGAGCAGTTTGCAATCTTATTTACAGAGCAGCTATGAGGTAAACAAAAGATCCTATGGCTAGTTTTGAAAAGAGAAGTATGATTGAAAGTAAAAAAAAAAGCATAGAAAATAATCAGGACTCTCAAATGATTAAAATAATTAGTTATGATTAATTGCATCATGTTGGGTAGTTAATTGCTGTTAATCACATGTCTTATTTGCCCAAGTTGCACCCTAAAGACTTTTATTTCCAGTTAAAAAGCAGAACATTTTGTTACAGATACATTAAAGGACAAAATAAGCTTAATCAGAATGTCTTTTATGTTCAGTAGTTTAGTAACATTATCATGTGGACGCAGAACCTAAACATGAAAATCACATGATTTCTGATTTGCATCACCAATGTCCAGTGAGAGCAACAGTGTCTGCATGTTCCAGCCAATGAGTGTATATATCAGATATATATCATAAATATAGTCAGTGGTTAAACCTCTCCGTGATTGTAGCCGTTCATACAGCTGGGGAACTGGAGCTCCACAGTACCCTGATACTACTACAGAGGACTCAAAGGGTCAAACTAAGAAAATGTGTTAAGACCTTAAAAATATTAGCTGTGTTAATAATTTAACTTTGACAGCCTTAAAAATATAGCAGTAAAAAAATCACCTGTGACGTCAAGGATGTGCAAACGAGCAGAGCAGTTTAATGGGATCATAATGTAATAAGCTGCTACAGTCTGTGTACAGTAATAATTCATTTAACTAATGAAACAGATTCAACCTAATGAAAAGAGAGGAAAAAGAAAGCGGTGAAAAAGGGACAGCACAATAGGAAGGGAGGGGGAAAAAGAGAAAGGAGGAATGAGAGAAAGGGAGGAAGAGAGGAAAAAAGAGAGGAAAAGGGAGAAGGTAGTGAAAGAGAGCAAGAGGGAGGGTGATGGAGAGTAAAATGCTGTGCTGGTCAGAGCAGCAAACAGGAGGAAATGATCTAATATCCCCAATCTGTGCTGAATCAAAACAAATGGATGATGCTGTGGAGATAAGAGAGGAGGCTGCTTAAAGGGGAATTCCACCGATTTTCAAAATTTCTGCAAAATTAAATTGTTAGGATGTAAACAAAGTCATTCAGAGTGGTTTGGTGTGAAATGCTCCATTTTAGAGAAACTTACTGAGTCAGATTTGTTCACAGTGGCGGTGATAGGAACCAGACGTCCACCTCTAAAAGCTCCCTCAAAGAACGTTATTACATGAAATGGTTATGAATTCACTGCCTGATGTCCTACACAGTGTTTTAAGATACGTTCGAGAAGGTTTTGGCCTAAAATGTATTTTTAAAAGTCCATTCTTTGTAAAGAGGTACGTGCAGGCTGCTGGAAGGCAAAACACTACCCAAAAAACTTTATTAGTCATTTGGACGGTGAACAAAATAAATAAAACGGCTATATTTGTGTTGTAGACATCATGAAACTCTGTGTGAAATCTTATCTGCTTAGTCACCATGACAACTTTAGTGAGGACTCAATTTAGGACAGATGCTATTACAGAACAACAGTTCTTAAGTTCATAATCTTATCATTAACTCCAGATAGGAAAACAGTATAACAGAAACATCCTAACTAGACTAAATCTCCTAAACTCTGTCCTAACTTGAAGACAAACCCCAGAGGGTCTTAACTTCTGTTTTAATTGTCTGTTTCTATTGTTTTGTGCAGTGAGAGGCAGCACAGTTCACTATAACTGACATAATGATGCTACATTTATCTACACTGAAAACTGTGGTTTAACTTTTAAAAACACCAGACGCTGCAGACTCGATCCTCTTATTACCTTCGTGTGTTAATGTTGATGATGGAATATTACAGTGATGGTGGTGAATAATGAGGAGACAGAGCTGAACGTGTGTCTGTTTATTAGGAGAAATAACGTAGCGCGCTCGGCTAAAGCGTTTGGGAAATGAAACTGAAACTGTGAAGCAGCGACTCTGATAAACAGCACGAAGTGCTGATACAGTATTCTTAACTCTCAGTTTATCGCGCTTTAGTTTTGTATGACCTTTTTGTACATCAGTAACAGTAGCTAGCTGCCTGGCTAACTATCTTGATTACTTTGACTATGTGTTTACGTTTCAGCTGTGTGTGTGTGTGTGTGTGTGTGTGTGTGTGTGTATGGTCGACGTATTGTCGAGATGACAGTTGATTGTCGACTTCGGTCGAGTAAGTTTTCTTAACTTGAGATAAGATGCTGTAAGATAAGATTTGCTTGCGTAATATGAATTTGTAAAAAATCTTATCTTGACCTGTCAGATCTTAAGACAAACAGACAGAAAGTTTCTGTAATACGGCCCCTGGTTCCTATCACCACCACTGTAAAGACATCCGAGTTTCTCTATGATAAACCATTTCACATCAAACCACTCTGAACGACTTTGTTGACATCTCAGTGATGTAATTATGCAGACATTTAGAAACAATTGTGGAATTCCCCTTTCTGCCCAGCCAAAACGTCTTTCATGACATCGTCTTTGAACTCTGACAGCTCAAACACCTGCTAAGACGTTCAAGTAGACGTTAACCAAACGTTACTGAAGTCTCTCAGTTTGCAGTGTGTGTGTGTGTGTGTGTGTTATCAGAGTCAGCATTGTGTAAGAGTGAGAGTGTGTGTGTGGGCATTAAAGCACACCCTCGCTGCTGCCAAGCTGTGTACCGCACCCTCTTCCCAAACACAGGATGCGCTGCTGTGTTTACTGCTCCCGATTGAAGGCAAACAAAAAAGGTCTCGCTGCACCGTGGTGGCCGGGTCACTCACACGAGCCCTGGAGCAGAGCTGAACTCGCCTGATAAAGAACTCTCACTCACTCTCTCTCTCTTTCTCTCTCTCTCTCTGCTTTAGTCATGCCGTTCACAAAGTGCTTACTGCAAAGCAGCAGCAATTAACGCACTGTGTGGCTTGCTTACAGTACTGTGCAAAAGAGGCCGCTTCTTTTTTAATTTCCAGCCAAAACGGCCATTAAGTTATTTGGTTATTCAGAGTCAGGGAAAAAAACTGAAAACATATTTAAACAGAAAATCACACAGAAGGCTCAACAACTCGATTTATTATATCTGTTTTTTTCAGATATAATTTTATTACAGCTCCCATTCTTTTCAGGAGACTCTGAAGTTGTATTTTCCACACCAGTGAGGCTTCTTGACAGCTACACATCCTTTCAGACCCACAGCGCTGAGTCGCCTTCTCACAGTGGAAGGATGGACAGAAACACTTGTGGATGTTTTCAGATCTGAAGCAGCTTGATCTCCTCTCTCTCATAGATGAAAGCTTTAAGTGCTGTTTATCTGATGGGGACAGTGTTGGTGGTCTACCGCGTCTCAGACAGCTGTTAGGCACTTCAATTTCTCTTTTACTTTTTTTTTGAACTCCAGTTTTGAAAACTCTTAATTTTTCACCTATTTTGCTTTGACTTTCCCTTCCTTATTCAAGTAGATAATATATCTAATCTCCTGAACAATACTCCCATAGAAATATGTGTTGATAGAAGAGTGGTCTCTGACATTTGCACAGTACTGTATATCCTATAATACACCTAGTTCAAGCGTCATATTTTTATGTTACATTAAAGGTACCAATCCGCTAAAACTGTCACTGGGGCAGTTCCCCTTTTGTCACTGGGGTGGGACCCTCAAGGGTACATCTCAGTACCTTTAGTCAGGGAACATAACTGAACCATAATCCACTGAAATCATATTTTCTAAGCTGTACTGACTCCACACACCCCGTCTCGTCTCCAGGCTTTTATTTTACTGTTCTGTTTTAAAACATTCGGTTATAAAAAGATACAAATACAAACTTTTCACCTGGAAAAACTTATTTAAGGTGCATTATTGGATCTTTAAACCACTGTTGAACCTTTGAGGGAACATTTACATTGTTTGTACCTTGATGAACGAAAAATGTGAACCTTTATTTCTAACAGTGTGTATCAGAAACTAATTCATTCCTACATGACCATTTTCCGAACTCTTTCTATCCCTCGTTTTTGTTACTGGGCCTTTAAGACAGACTCATGTAAACGGACTCTGTTCTGATTGGCTGCCCCTCATTCAACCATTCCTTTAAGGCACATGTTGAAAAATTTTTTACTCTCAATGTTTGACAAAAAAATTGAAAAATAAATGACGGACTACGTTTTGGGGGAAAAAAAAACAAAAAACACATGCATTCACAAAATCATAAACAAGCTGCACTCCCGGAGCCCTGGAGCCCCCCAACAAAAGCACCGCATTGACACAGTCCCATCTGAGCAAATGAGAGGTTAATGCCAAACGGCACATGAGAGAGGAGGAGGTGGGGGGGACAGAACGGAACGCAAGCGTCTGACAAACGTGATAAAGAGTGACACTGGCAGACCCTTTCATTGTCTCCACTCCAATCGTGAAGTTAAAGATCTTTGAAAAACCTCAGAAAGGGAAAAGGGGGGTGAAAAAAGAGGCGATGTCTTTAAAATGAAAGAGAGGCACAAAGCAACAACAGGGGGTTATTGTGCGGAGGCCCCACGGGAGGGAGTCGCGGAGTGATTCTTCTTGTCTTTTGATGGCTCCACGAGAAATCCGAATGGATTAAAAGGAGAGAGTGAGGGAGAACATCGGCGAGAGGAACAAGCCTCTTGAGGGCTGCATCAATTTCCTGTGATCAAACATAATGCGCTTCAAAAAGTTGTTTTCTTTTTATTCACTGTGGCCCATTCAGCTGATCAATTGTAGCTTCTTTTTGCTATGCCAAACTTTCCCCCTCCCTCACGCCCTATCCATCTGACACTAGAAATGGAGAGGGAGGGAGAGAGAGAGTGACAACTTCTATCAGAGAGGAGAGGAACAGCGCTGTCACGTTGATTTATGGAAGCGAGGCTCCACAACTTGTCCAAACTGAAGCCCCTAGTTCATTAATTAGCAAGCCAGGGGACTTTGAAGTCGGCGTGCGTGAGCGTGTGCACGCGTCCGTGCATGTGTGTTTTACACTGGGTTTAATTTATACACTCCGAGAGTGAATTTGACTCTCCGAGGGGAAAAAGTGAAAGTCTGAAATTCCCTGATTGTCTTTGAACTGCTTCTGACCGAGCAATAATCAGTTCTTTTGTCCGGAGCAATGCCTGCATCCGCCAGTCATTAACACACAGCCACTGTAAATGAGACCAGGCTCAAACTAGAACAGAAAAAGGTGGCGTGGCGTGCTGAGAAGGATAGAAAGAGAAAGAGAGAGCAAGCTGATATCTCACAATTACATGCCTCCTCTCCTTCTGCCATTCCCATGTTAATTATCCTGGTAGCCTCTTCGAATTATATGCTATACATTTCTGCATCTCTCTCTCTCTCTTTCTCTCTCTCTCTCTGTCTTATTAGCTGCTTCTTCCAAGGGGAAGTATTTGACAAGTGTGCCTTCCACAGGAGAATATGCATATTTTTGTCAAAGGAAGGAAAAGAAAAGGAGAGAACGCAACTGTTTTCCTCAAGAGGAGAAAGCTATCAAAGCTCAGTGAGTGCTATGTGAGAAGGCCTTTATGCTGGGAGCTGAGTAACGGCACTGGTTCTGTAAACGTTCATGATGCAGGTGATACAATATGGGGAAAAATATACCACAACACTTACACAATAAGTGTCACTCTATTTAGTTTATATATTGAGTTTTGATGAGCTGGAACAGATATGTAAGAAGTGGTAGTGTCACTTTTCATAAATTACTATCAGAAGCTATGAGTACAGTGGTTTGTTTTCAACTGCATTGCAGTTGGCCAGTGTTCTTTAAGTGGTGATAATGGTTGACATTACCTATTGTCTTACTGCCCCAGAGCCCACTTGCCCTGATTTTTTTGGGGGGGGGGTTTCCCTTTTAACAAACCACTAGAGCAGTTTCATTTTTAGTCATTCACAATTATCCTTTATCAATAACAAAACACTACCTTTTCTCACTGTGTCAGATCCAGAGCCTGTTTGGTGGGATACAAAACTAACTGCATCAATTCAAATTCTGCCAGAATTGTAACCAATGCAGTAGCTCACACGACTGCAGTTATCTTATCAATGTAACGTTTTTTAACAAATCGCTGTTGTCAGAACAAAACCTTGCGTCTCCAAAATGATAACTTTACAGGAAAAGGAAAAAACATACTTTATTTTTAATGCAAGTCAATGGAACCAGAATTTTTTCCAAGCAATTTTGGGCCGTTTCTTTTGGTCTGTTCATCATGAAATGTACACCCCAATGTAAAGGGCAACAGGTACTTTCAAACGATGTCAAAAACTGAAAAACAAAAAAATGGAGATAGAAGGTTTTGTTCCGACAGCAGCCAAATATTTCCTCAAATCAAATTTTGCTGGGATTCAATAACTGTCTCCACTGCGACAGCCAATGTGATGACCTGCGTTCTTACTGATGTAAAGTTCTGAATAAATATTTCCCTTTTTAAATGTTTTTGGTGCTGAAGCATGTTTGTTATTTGTAAAAAAAAGTGTAAATGATAATCATGTTTCTAAATTCTGGCCACAAGCTCTTAATTCTTTGGCTTGTAGGCCTGAGTGGACATTTTTGTTCTGTCTACTGCGACTCATAATATCCTCAGTATGCTCAAAACAGCATACTGTGATGTGATTTATCATGATAACCATAAACACTATCATATTGCTCACTTCTAAGCGCTCCAGAGGTGAGGAGAGTAATTAAGAGCCTATGGATGTGTCCGCACACATACCTCTTTGCTCTGCTGTTTGCTGCCATGTTGTTGCTGGAGGAGTTGGAGATGGAGCTGTTCCTGCTGCTTCTTATAGAAGTCCTGGAGTTGCTGCTGTAGACACAAAGACACTTTAGCACCACGATCGTCGCTGATGTGATTTGTCAGTAATGAAAGACACCGTTCAGTCACAGTTGTGGTGAACTTCAGCGTGTTCTGAAAGTGTGCGTCATTGGCAAGCATGCAGCGTTGAAGCAGCTCCAGGCGAGACTCATTCAGAATGTGCAGCACCTGAGGCTATTCGGAGAAAAGAAGGAATGTACGTGTGTATATGTGACTCTGATTGTGCACCTGCTTTAATGTTAGGGGTCTGTCTCATCAAGCAGCATTTCCCACTCAGCCAGCTAACTTTGAGCTTAGCTCGACCTAACTCTGGATTCTGTGTCTCACAATGGTGGATCTCTTTTTATTGGGCTACATTTCCATGGCAACTTATACTACACGCATAACCTGCTCCTGTTAAGCTTCGGATGTCGGATCAAAAAGAATTCTTGGACCAATCGGACAAAGATTCTGACCAATCAGGGACAGCGTTCTGACCAAGGCTTTTTGGGTCACTTTTTCTGCTTTTCTTTCGTTGTTGAACACGAAAAAATATTGCTTTTCAGTGGAGGAAACAAATAATACTGCAAAAGATGTAAAGAACAGAAACCAGTTATTACTCCAGTAAGCACCAGCACTCTGGCAGTGGAGGCAGGGTGTCTTTTTATTGTTATAAATGCTTTATTTTTCACATATTTCTTTCTCCTTAGAAAAATCTCCTGATGTTTCATGCGATTGGCTGCTGTGCATGTGCACAAGGTTTCATCATTGCCTGTCATGGCCATTGAATTTTAACTGATGCTTTATTGCTTTATAAATGATTGTGATTAATGACAAGTTTTTGTTAACTGTAAGTTTGATGTTCTGGTATTCAGTACGTTATGAGTGCTAACAATGATAGTAAATAAGGCTGAAATGGCCCATGATTTGATTCCTGATGCCATGTAAGCAAGTATTAAAGTACAAGCCTAAAGTGGCCAAACTGGCTGATTAGCTGTGTTGTTTTCTATTTAGTAGCTCCCAACTGATGACAGACACAGCCTCACTGTCTCCCTCTAAAGGTGCTATTGCACCAGTCAGAAGAGCTTTTGCTGTTTTCGTAGGACTTATGAGGTCTCAATAAATGTGTCTAACATGCTTTCCTTTATTTACATTTATTTGCCACAGCTCAACTGATAAAAACATGCATGTTATACATTCTGTTTAATGTGACATAAATACATTAGAGTGAAAGCAAACAACTGCAGAAATTAATTGCAATCAGCTCAAAAAACTGTGATAAGGTGATTATGTAATAAATGTGCCTAAGGCCTAAGCTTCATTATCTAAAGTTTGGTAAACAGAGAAAGTTGTTAACTGCCGTCATAAAACAGGTTAACTGTCCTTTTCGTTCATTTTGAAAAGCTGAAACTTGCACAGTATAAAATTAGGGGGGTATTTCATTAAGCAGGATTTCTCAGTCTCAGCCAGATAATTTAAGTTGAATGTCAGGACTTTCGGCTTAAATAGGCAGAGAGCTAAAGGAAATCCCTGCTGTACCATCCTTACTTTTGGCTTAAGCTGTACAGTTGCAATGCTGCTTTATGAGAGCAGCGTATGTATATCTCTTGCTGTAACATGATGCTGCTGCAGTACAGGTTTGTGTGTGTGTTCCTATATTTAACCCTTCATGAGGCTTTATGTTCTGGTATTTAGTACTTTATGAGTGCTAATAATGATAGTAAATAAGGCTGTAATTGCCCACGATTGAAGTCCTGACACTGGGTTCGCAATTCGAAGGTCTCAGGATGTTCAGAACAAACTCTGAATGAAGAAAAATTATGACTTTATTCATGTTGTTGCACAGTTTGCTAATAAGTCCAATGTCGATGCTGGTGGTTTGCCAACTTTGGAGCAATGCAACTGAATTTGACGCCATAATAAAATAAAAGCCCATTCTTCACAATGCAAAACGTCAGTGTATTGTTACACCCCTAATATAAAAGCATTAAAAATCCACAGAATTCAGAACATTTTGCTGGTCCTCACCAGAAAACATGCTGTTTTCACCACAAATGCAACTTTTTTGAAGAGAGCAAAAAATTGCTTTTTGGTTACTAAAGTTACAGATAGGATTAAGATTAAGTACAGAAGTAGCAATGTAGTATTACTTGGCTACAGCAATGAGTGTAAATCCAATGTAAGTCCTCACAAAGACAGTAATACAAACGTGTGTACCTGCTGTAACATGAGGGCCTGTTGCTGCTGCAGTAGGAGCTGGAGCTGTTGAGGGCTCAGGACTTGTTGCTGGAGAATCTGCTGCATCTGCTGAGGAGTTATCACCTGCGGTGTCATCATAGCCACTGACACAGGCACCTGCAACACAGAAACAATCAATTAGCATGGTTTAAGAACAACGGGCAATATTATGTATACAGCAAATCACAGCAAACAGACTGTGGAGTGTTTTATATACAGTACTGTGTAATAGTCAGAGACCACCCTTCAACTACTTAATTACCAGTTAACACAACCATTAAGTACAACTTATACATTTTTTTTCAGAAGCTATATCTGAAGAGATGAAGTAAAATAATCCACTTGCACAAGTCAGGGGAAAGTCAACAAAAAATAAGTGGAAAAAAAAAAATATGAACAGCTACAGAGAAAATGGGGCTCCTAACAACCACCTGGAACACCTGGTAGACACCAAAACTGCCCCCATCAGATAAACAGCACTTAAAGCTTTCGTCTTTGAGAGAGAGGAGAAAATCAAGCTGCTTCAGAGTCCAGACCTCAACACCACTGAATGTGTTGGATTACTTCAGAAAATGATCAACCGGCTTCTAAGACTGAACTTTGGAGGTGTGTCTGCAGATTCTTTGAGAAACTGAAAGTGAGTCTCCAGAAAAGAATGGAAGCTGTAATAAAGGTAAAAAGTGACTCACTCAATACTGAAAAATTGCATATTATATTTAGTAATTTTCCGTTTTTTCTCCTGAAACTGAAACATGAATAACTTTAACTCAGTGGCAGTTTTGACTGGAAATTAAACAGATGAAGAGGGGTCTCTGACCTTTGCACAGCATTGTATATAGTAACAGACAAACGTACGTAGCCCCAACCTGTTTCTGTGCTGACAGAACTCCTCCTACAAGCAATCAAAGATGTGCTTGGATGAGAGAAACAATAAAAAGTGCACACAGACACACAGAGATAGAGAGACTTTCAACAAGCCCCCTATCCCAATCAGCAGTGCGCCCCACTCTAAAAACAAGGCCACTAGCCATTAGCCTGGAGTACTGCTCTTCTCTTCATTGTGCTCGTCTGAATGTGTTTTGTGTTTGTTTTCCACTGTTTATCTTTTTCTTTCGGCTGTTGTGAGAATCCTGTCACACCGCAGTGTTACAAACGGGACATGAGGGGGGGAATAAAGTGAGGAAAAAACAAAAATAAAACTGAATAAATAAATAAATAAATAAATAATGTAACGAAATGAAACACTCAATTAGACCTTAATGCGGGCCTTTACAGAGTGCTTTTCATTAAGATGTTGTCAACAACAACTGTGGAATGCACAAACAAACATGCCCTCTTTTAGAATAACAGTGCAGACAGAGAGGTGTGAGTGTACGAAGCGTGGAGAGGAGTGTGATGTGTGCTGACATTGAGAGGGTGCTCATACGCAGCTGACAGTGACCCTTAATTGCAGAAGAGGCTCAGTGGAATCAGCGTGTTTGTGTGCATGTGTGTCCGTGATGTGCAATGCTGTTAAAATTTTCTCTTTTTGGTGACAAACGACAACAGAGATGAACTTGAGAATGTCTCACACAGGACACTATGAGAACGTGTGAGTAAATGTGCAACACTGCGCAGGAATCAGATCAAATTTCCAGTCAAAACAGCCGTTAAGTTATTCATTTCAGGCGATATTTCTGAGGAGATTGGCTATGAGAAAATCCACTGGCATGAGGAAGGAGAAAGACAAAGGAAAATACGGAACAGGAGTTTCCAAAACAGGACTAAAAAAAATGATTAAAAGCTACAGATTAAATGTGGCTCCTAACAACCACCTGGAAGACCTGGTAGACACCATAACTGCCCCCATCAGATAAACAGCACTTAAAGCTTTCATCTCTGAGAGAGAGGAGAAAATCAAGCTGCTTCAGATCTGAAAACATCCACAGGTGTTTCTGTCCATCCTTCCACTGTGAGAAGACGACTCAGCGCTGTGGGTCTGAAAGGATGTGTAGCTGTCAAGAAGAACTTCACTGAGAAAAGGAGACGGACAAAAAAGACGATAATCTGCACTAGAACACGAGACATCTGAGATGTGGAGTAAAGGTTTATGGACAAATGAGTCTAAATTTGTAGTCTTGAGTCTTTAAATTAGAGTCCAAATTACTTGGATTGTGAGAAGCAGAAAGTGCAACCAACTTCTAAGACTGAACTTTGGAGGTGTGTCTGCAGGTTTCTTTGAAAAACTGAAAGTGAGTCTCCTGAAAAGAATGGAATCTGTAATTAAGGGTGGCCATATGACATTATTTTATCATTACTGTGGTAAATTATGTCATATTTTTCTGAGCATATTGTGGAGATGGTCAGTATTTAAACACTAGCTAACTACGTTTCATTAAAGTGAGCATAATTAGGCCTGTTTAAATGGATTTAGTGCAGTTCAGTTTGTAAAACAATGAATAAAATCATTGTAGTTATTGTAGTATTGTATTATGTGTCACTGCATTTTGTCTGCTCTAACTTATTAAATCTGAGAAAAACTAAATACTGTGATGCATATTGTATATCATTGAAATGTCTTGAAATATCACAATATAATATTTTTGCCATACCGGAAACCCCAAGCTGTAATAAAGACAAAGAGCTGACACACTAAATACCGAAAAAAAAACATTATTATATTTAGTTATTAAGGTTTCTGTGTCATTTTTTGGTAAATATGTTTTCTGCCTTTTTGTCCTGACAATGAAAATCGAATAACTTGTATTTAATGGTCATTTTAACTGGAAATTAAATAAATAAAGTGTGGTCTCTGACTTTTGTGTGGTACTAAATCGCTGCTGTCGGGACAAAACCTCGTATCTCCATTTTTGCTGTTTTTCTATTTTATTTTACATAATTTGAAAAGGCCAGTTGCCCTTTATGATGTTTCTAAATTTCATGATGAACAGAAATGGTCCAAAATGACTTGGAAAAAATTATTTCCCCATTTACTTCCATTAAAAGTTAAGAACGTTTTTCCTCATCCTGCAAAGTTACCTTTTTGGAGATATGAGGTTTTGTTCTGACAGTAGCTTGATGGGCCAGTTTTAGGCTGACAGCCTTCACCAAGCCTACCCCAGCTGTATTTCTGTATCACAGTGTATGACACTTCTTTGAATTTTCAGGCATGTAATTGAAGCCACTGGAGCTCCTGCGCCCAAAAGGGGCGGTTTTTTTGGTCCGTTCTTTGACGGCCACCTGCATACATATGGCCTAATTTGGCCCGCTTTAAAGAGTAAAACAAAAACAAACCACCTTTAATGAATGCCTTGCACATCGGCAGCGCTACAAAGGGCAAAGGTGTCAAACAAGAAGCTTGGCCCGACCCATAAACACAGTGTGGCTCTGACAGCCAACATAACACGCGAACATGGTTAAAGGGCATATGCGTTGAAACAGAAAAACACATGTGAGGACACTCCCAGCCCCCCCTCCGCAACACGCAGGGAGTCGGAGGGCTCAGTTTTAATCGGCCTGGCGCTACTACGTCTTAATATGCGGTCCGTCCTGACTTTTTCACATGGCTTGTCGTGCGATTTGCATAGCCCGCGCCCCCCGATTTCCTCATTTCCCAGTCATTATGCGCTCATGTCCTTACTGCTCGGCATCACTAATTTTGATGAACTATTTTGAAGGTCGGGGAGGCGGACGAGAGCAGAGAGGGAGGGAGGTGGGCTGTTTGAGCGGCTCCTGATGAGACAGGCGTGAGCTTTAGCGTTGAGGAAAAGCGCCCTGTTTGTTTAACTGTAGTGTAGAATTGCAGTTATGTGACACTGAATTTATTTTTAACACTCAGATTAATCACTTCTATGCAGTATCTACAGCGTTTACTGCTGCATTATGGACTAGGCTGCTTAATAGACGACTTTTTAGCTGGTCTGTTAAATATTACTGTTTCAAACACTTTGGTTAAATCAAATGGTGCAAAAATAACACTGTGCGGTACTCAACAGTCACATTGTAAATTGCGATCCCTAATTAATTTCTTTATTTTTACACCTTCCGCACACACTGACACCAGCTTTCACACCTCCCAGTCTCCAGCGTGAGTGTGTGCGTATGTGTGGAGCCGGTAACTACTGCTCCACACCCTGAGCCCTAGCGAGAGGCTATTACAGCCCCCGCTTTATTACCCATTACCAGTGAGGTCATTAGCTGGGAGAGGGATTGTACTCTTCTTAACCTATTGATCATGCTAACTACTAGCGTTTAATCCTCCACTGAGCGAACCGGAATCTGCTTAAGACAGGGAGACGGGGAGGGGCACTTAAACTGAAAAATATCGCCCCGGTCACCGCTACAGAGCCACTTCGCTCCGAGAGAGAGAGACGGAGAGGCTGTTTTCCATTCAGAAACCCCATTTCTCTCTCTGCACAGAGGAGGACTGTAAAAGAAACATTGTGAATGGTAATAAGAGGCCGTTTTAATTGCGACGAGGAGGAAAACGCAGATCTATTTCAAATTCAGGTCGTTCCTGAAGGTTTGTGATTATTTCAGCTGTCAACAGGACGTTAAAAAGCAGAACCTGTTAGTCTAAAAGAGAGAGAAAGAGAGAGAAGGGGAAGTTAAAAGGAAGAGGGGAGTGTATGGATGCCAGAGATTGCTGACATTTATGAATTTCTGAAGGGAGTGGCATTGGCCAGGTGTGTGCCGTACATAAAACAACACATATGTACGTGCACACACATGCTGCTGCCCCCGAAAAAATATCTCCCACAGCTGCTACTTCACTGTAGGCAATTTACTAGTTGTATCTTGCATGCTGGCCACTGAATCAACCCCAAAAAACATCCATACACTCCTAATATTTGCACTGCAAGACCCAAAATTGTTTTATTTTAAACAATTTTAAGAATCCAGCATATTCCCATACAAAATCTGAGCAATTTTACATATGTCCTATGTCGAAAAACAAAGATCTGAGCAGGCATTTCATCTCATATTTGGCCTGTAATCTCTAAAAATGTCATATCCTGCACAAATAGAAGCCCAGTGAAGCTAAACGTTCAGCTTAAAAGTAGAGGCTACAGAGGCAATCAGCTGGAGTCACTGCTTTTGGGTAAAGAGGACACTCTAGCAGTGCAAACACAGGCCTA